TGGGTGCTGGGCAAGGAGTAAAATGCTGCCTCAGCTGCACATCTAATTGAGGTGCGCCAGCCCTGCCTGCTCTGGCGCCTTCTCTCACTGCACAGTTGATTGGGGCAAAGAATCCTCCATGTCCTAACCTCCCTTCCTGGCAGGTTCCACAGCTATTGTTGCCACGCACTGTGGGGCCTGGTGGGCAACTCATTGAGGATGAGTGTCAGACCTGGATTTGGATTCCTGCAGCTCAATAAGGTGAGCTTAGGTTTCACTGAGAGAGTGACAAGCCTATCTCACAGGGTGGTTGTGGGGACAAAATTAGTAAGGGAGTACCATACATGTTGCTGTGAGCTCTTGAAGAAGAAGAAGACAAGAGATTGGATTTATATCCCGCCCTTCACTACCCAAAGGTATCTCAGAGCGGCTTACAAACTCCTTTCCCTCCCCACCACAGACATCCTGTGAGGTAGGTGGGGCTGAGAGAGCTCTTGACAGAAACTGCTCTTTTTCAAGGACAGCTCTTATCAGAACTACGACTTGCCCAAGGTCATCCAGCCAGGTGCAAGTGGAGGAGTGGGGAATCGAACCCGGTTCTCCCAGATTAGAGTCCACGCACTTAACCACTGCACCAAACTGGCTCTCCTTTAGAGGAATGGTGTGAGATAAAAATCCCTATGTTGGCTCAACCTGTAAAACCATGGGACAGCAAGTGCTCTATCCCAGTGGTCAACCATTACCTGGGTACTTGGACTGCAAAAGGAGATGTTTATGTTGTTATGGACCAAAGCCACCTTGCCCCCCCACCCACCCACATCCTTGCAGATCAGCTACAGAAACTACATCAAACTGAGAGTGATTTGGCCAGTCTGGTGTAGTGGTTAAGTGCGCGGACTCTAATCTGGGAGAACCGGGTTTGATTCCCCACTCCTCCACTTGTACCTGCTGGATGACCTTGGGCAAGCCGTAGTTCTGATAAGAGCTGTCCTTGAAAAAGAGCAGTTTCTGTCAGAGCTCTCTCAGCCCCACCTACCTCACAGGATGTCTGTTGTGGGGAGGGGAAGGGAAAGGAGTTTGTAAGCCGCTCTGAGACTCCTTTGGGTAGTGAAGGGCGGGGTATAAATCTAATCTCCTCCTCCTTTCTCAGTGCCTGAAATGGCACCATTCCTACTTCAAAAACCATTAGACCAAGTATAAGTTGTGATGTGGAATGGCAAATAAACTAAAAGTGCAAAGTTTCATCAGAATTAAGTAAATGTATGGGTTTTGCCAGTTTGAAACTGGATAAACAAGACTTCCTCCATTCTCTGGGCTGATTCACACATCTACACACCAGCCTGCTCTTGGTAGCAACGACAGTAGTAAAACATTTTCAAAGGAGCAGTTTTTTTAAGAAACAAAAACTGGCAGTAGTCATCTTTGTCTGGTGCCATCGTAAGGCAAGTGCTGCCCCTTTAAGCAAGTTGGCTTTTGTTGAGGATGGGTTGAGGTGCTAGCAGCTCTTCCTCCTGCTCTCTGGGAAAGGGGGGGAGTGGGGGGATTCAGTCCTGCAAGCCTTTCTACCATCACCCCTTCCCTGGCCGCCCCTGTTATATTGGCAAATGTGGTGCCGATCTAAATGTTTACCAAGATAATGCTTTTGGGCTTAAGACTTTACATATCAGTGGCATGAATACTCTCAAGCTCCTTTAAATTAAATTATTTTTTTTTGCGAGTTTAGGAGGGACAGAATTGCAATACCTCCTTGATGGCTTCCTTATTAGGAAGATGCTGAAATGTAGGTTGATGTTCAGATTTGCTTGAGCCCTGAATTGCACAGTATGCCCTCAAGACTAGCAGAATGAGTGATGCCCCACAAAAGCGATTGCATTGCAAATCTAGGTGCATTGCACAATTTAGGTTGTAAAATTCCCCTTTTCTAGGCACAGATGTTGTTTATACTAAAATATCAAAATTGTGTGCCAACTAGACATCCCTGCCCCAGCTGTTATGCCACAAGCCTTGGTCACCAGTGGCCTTGGCCACAATCCATGAAATGTTCCTCCTCATCAGCAGCTATCTCTGGAAATCCTACAGAGCCCCCTGCTTTGATATGTTCTGATTACTTTGCCCATATGAAGAGATTTGAAGTTACTTTGTTTTTAATCCCCCACAGAGTCAGATGGAGTTCAGTATTGCTTCTCTGTCGATACAAGAACCGAGTGGAGTGTCATCACAGAATGAACAGAAACAACCTGTCAAAACAGCTCCAGGCCCCCAGATCCCCAAACCTTCACAAGGTGGTAAAACAGTAATCTCAGATGGGTTTATACCAGCCAGGAAAGATGACGAGGCCTCTTTCTGGAAGATAAATGCTGAACGCTCCAAGTTTGAAGGGGAACAGTCCGAATTCTGCTCCCTGACCCCTAGCCAGATCAAATCCATGGAGAAGGGAGAGAAGAACCTCCAGCCTTATTACAGGCAAGAATCTGGTTCAAAAGAGGCACCCAAAGCAGAGAAGTCTAACATGATGAAACCTGAAAAATTGATCACTCCCTTTCTCACTCCCACATCTGTGGAATGGGAGAAACCTCAGCCTGCTGTGAGCACCACTCAGGCCCTTCCTGAACCGGTGGAAAAACTGTCATCTCCTGGGACAAGAAGTGAAGATACTGATAGCGGTTTCCTTTCAGACTTGCAGACACATGGTCAGGTAAAGGCCAGTGTTTTATCCCTTGCCTAATATATGAGTGCTGTGCAATCCCTCTACCCCTCCCCCTGTTTAATGAAGTTATGCAAGAAGATTAGGGGCTCTGTGGAATGCTAAACCCTAACTGAGTCTCTTTGCCCTTATTTCAGAGATTGAAGAAATACCTTTGTCTAATGCACCACCATTTCCTATATGGGATATTTTTAATATTGTAACCTGTTTAAATTGCCTCGCATCCTGCACCCTCTTACTTAAACAGAATTTTATTTAATTTCAATTGAAGCTGCCTGTGTGTGTTAGCTGCGAAAAGCCTGAAAGGAGAGGCTCTGATGTGGTGCTCTGCATATTCAGGGGCAGAACTCTTTGCTTGTCTGTGGCTGCAATCACACACACTAAAGAATCCAGTTTCAATTCACTTTCAGTGCACTTTCCAAATGGATCTTGCCAGTTCACACAGTAAAATCCAGTTGGAAAGTGCACTGAAAGCAGATTATTTAGTGTGTGTGATTGCAGCCTGTGGCCCCGTTCACACAGCGAATTTGCCGCGGGAGAGCCACGGATGCCGGGCGGATTATCCGTGCGCGATCACACCGCCACATCTGGCAAGCGTAGTGCACCCATGGCTTCCTGCCGAAAACCCGCAGTTAAAAAATACCTGCTAAGAAGTACCAGCAACCAGTTTGCCGCGGGCTGCTGACGGACTTGGTTGGTGCGATTGCGCCGGCACGCGGCTTGTCCCTCCAGCCATCGTCTTTGCCGTGGGCGCTGACTGCTGAAACCCCGCTGCACTGCCGTCGCGTCTGATCGCTTAATCGCGGATCAAACTGCGACGGCGCAAATAGCCCCCCCCCCGCATTATCCGGCCCTTTTGACCGGGGCCTGTGTGTGTATCTGATATATAAAGGGGTGAGGATTCACTCAATATGGGATTACATTGCATGAATAAATGACATTTCACTGGATGTCTGTTGCATGAAAGAATTTCCAGTAGGCAATTGGACAGAGAAGCTTTTTTCAAAAATCAGGAGTATGTCCACCAGGCCACCACGTGAGAAAATGTCTGCTATTCACTCCTCTTGGGGTGCCAGAGGGCTGCAGTTGGTGGCAACATGGCAGTGAGTGGTATGGTCCACATATGGTAACCAGTGGGAATGTGGAAGAGGGTATAGCTGGAAAGCATCTGCTACAGCCACCTTGCTGAAGCTAAGCAGGCCTGGGGGCCAAACAAGAGGTGTTTGTTTTTAAAGAGGTGATTCTGTGTTCCCTACAACCACAAAGCAGCTGAGGGAGAAGGCTTTGAAAAAATAAAAGTTTCGGCTCATTAGACTGGGGGGGAGCGGGAGGAAGGGCTCCTGCCTTCCCTTCTCTGAGCAGCAAAAATGCGGAAATACTCCCCTTGGTGTGTTGTTTCAGTGCAGCAAAATGGCTCAGAGGAAAGTGTTATGCCAACTCCTCCAGGAAATTAGTTCTTCCACCCCCCCACCCCGTGGTGGTATTATGAGCCCAAATGGGCTCTCCTTTATTTTGTCTAAAAGCCCTCTCCTGCTGCTGCTTTGTGGCTGCAGGGAACCCAGGTTGGATACAGGGAACCTAAACTCAGCTCTTTAGGCAAGTCTAATTTGGCCCTGAGTCTGGTCACTGCCTGGATGGGAGGCCTGCTTGGAATCCTCTGAACGCCATCCTAAGGGTCCTTGGGATATAAGTGTAATAAACAAATGTGTTAGGAACCCAAAAAGTAAATATCAGTTTCCTCCTTGTTGGACACTGTATGCTAATTTTTAACATCGGAGTTGAATTCTTGGTTGTCCCACTGATTGTACGTGTAGATTCCTTACTGAGAAGAGCTGCAGCTGGTGCTCAGTGTGTTTGTGTACCCAGGAATACATTGTGCCCTCCCAAGGATCCCTGCAGTTAATGGGCCCTCTTGACAGGTACATAGCTAGGAAGAATGTCTTAATCTGGTTTTATTCTCAAGGTAGGAATGAGTATGGCTGTTCATATTAAAAACTAAGTTCAGAAGGAAGATGGGAAAGAAAGGAAGACTGCATGGGCATAGTTGACCTGGAAAGTCTCCCAGACATTTTGTACAAGAGCATGGTCATGCTGCCATTGGTTCTTCTGGGCAGGTTTGCCCAGTGGAAAAGGTGTCTTGCAGTAATTCTGTCGGATTATATAGATTTATAGTTTTGTTGTATTCTGATATCCCTCTCTCTCTCTATGTCTGTAACAATTTACCTTGTCTAAATCTTGTCTCTTCCCAGAACAATACAGGTAATGTTATCTTGAAGACGGGATTTGATTTTCTAGACAACTGGTAAAGAAGAACAGAATAACTTCAGTGCATTTTTTGGAGAGAGCTAAAAGGAGCATCCTTTCCCCTCTATCCTTTGTTTTGTTACTGGCTTTTATGTGTTCTTTAAAAACAAAGCATAATGTTCCAGATCTTTTAAATGTCACCTTTGTATTAATACTTTTTGTAAACTCAAGATAGATATTTGTATTTTGAAATGGTCCAGTGTTAGTGTGGGGTGTTTTGTTTTTTTTAATTTTCACAATCCTCCTGCAAAATGATTAGCCATGATGGGATGGACAGGAGTGATTTCCTGATCATTGCTTATATATTAAGGACCGGGAGGGGAATCTGGCTTGGGAGAGACGTTACGGCCTCCTGACAGAGGCACCCATTTTCATACTGATGCCAGTGAAAACGACGACCTGGCTACACCAGGAATGACAAAATAGAGGGAAAGTGTGAAGAAATGATTGAAGCACAAAATTCAGAATACCAAAAGTCATCATGCCTCTTTGAAATAAATCATAAAGATAATAAGGCTGCAGTTTTTAAAAGAAAATATTTTTGTATTGGTACGTTTAGTTTGGCTTATTTCTATTGCAGCTGATTCGTCTGTGGGATATTTGGCAGTGGGGATATTTTTGAAATGGGAAGACTTTGCCAAAGGGGGATATTCAAAGCAGTACTGTAGCTGCACTTGAATAATTCCCTGAAACTAAAGCCAGGGTTGGGGTCAAGGGAGAAAATAAAGACATATGGGATGCAGCCAGTCATTTACAGGCTAAAATTGCTTGATAAAAGTAACTTTTGTGGAGAAGAGTACCTCAAGTGATGACTGTACCAATCTATAGGGGTGTAGATCGCCCTCTGTTATTATATCAGTGTACTTTATTTACATTGAAGCATTATGGGAACACTTTCTAAAAACTTCTTTAATAAAAATGGTTTCTTTTCGGGACAGGATTATATAACTTCTGGTGCTACTTCCCTTCATGGGAATAGAACTTCCAGGTGTCTCATAGCCTACCTGTTTTGGCAGGTTTATATTTTCAGGGGGGCTTACTGCTTTTTAAAAATAGTTTTTAAAAATAGTGTTGCCCACTTGCAGCTTGAGTTGGTCGAGTTCATCATACCACCTTGGGATTCTACCACCTTAGTTTGCCTCCTCTGTAGACCAGGCCTCATTCTTGTCTAATGCTGAAACACATGAATAGAAAAGTTATGTCGGCTGGATTGCCATTTCAGAAGTGCATTGTGGTTTCTATCCTGCCTCTGCTCTGCCCCCTTTACCTTTAAGCCTTAATTCCCAGTAGTGCACAAATGGTGATCTGTCCAATCCAGTAGCTGACTGATCTTCTTAACCTCAAGAACTGGATTTTCAGAATACTGGTCCCTTGAATCCTTAAGGAGGACCCAGCAACCTCAGATTGGTTAACCCCCCCCACACACACACACATTTACATTTTTTCTCTGCATTTTAATAGTTCCACACAGTTCTAATGTCAGTTACTACCAGCTTTCTCCAGATAGGCCATAACAACTGTAAGTTTTCCACTGTGTGACAGCATAAGGGCTCTGTCAATGGCGATCTGAAAATCTAAAGAATGAGGATGTTTCTGTATAAGTAATGTCTTACACTACTCTTTTTTAATCTGTTTATCCAGTCAGTTACTGTCTTATATAACCTGCAGGCAAATAATAGTGTTGGTAAAGTTAGCTCATATATCAGAGTCTAGTTCTAAATCTTAACTTTTCTTCTAAACAAGGGTAGATATGTTGTAATAGAAAGTTATAGGATGTGGGGAAAGCAGTAAAGAGAACTCAAAGAAAATGTGGCTTCTGGGAGCTGTTTTACACTTTGTGCCATAACATGCATATGGGCTTTTGCTGTGGTAAGCATTAAAAGCAGGAAATGTGTGATGATGTATTTGTAACAATGCTGATGAATGATCAGACCCCTCAGTGTGTAACACAGCTGCAAAAAAACAGCTATGTGCCCCCTAATAGTAACCTGAGCTGTGGTGCTGGGAAAGGGTGTGTGTGATTAATTCATTCTAAAATGGCGGCCATCCTGGGCTTCCTTAAAGCCACTGTAGGGGGAAAAGATCAGTAAGCATATTGTGCCTATGTTTTTGCTCTTGTGCTGTCTTGTGTTTTCTCTCCCTCTTGCTCCCCCCTCCTTAGGATTTTCTATCAGGAAGCTGATGTGTGGGGACAGGCCGTTACTGAAAACATCTTCCCAGCATCTCAGCCCAATCTATACTGGGGGTTCCCCCCAGCTGCTTTTTCAGCTGCATTCCATGTCCAAAGATCCAGTTGTACATCCCCAATGGCAAATGTATTGTGTCCCTCAGATAGGTTTGATGCTTTGCTGTGGGGCCACTGTGTGTTGTACATCCTCCTCTCCATATGTTACATGTTTGCCATAGCTAACAGCTGTGATCTCTTGCAGCACTGGTGCCATTGCAAGCATGAATTGGCTCCTGGATACTGAGTAGCTACCGTTTTGTTTAAACATTGATAGTATCGTAACATTTCTGGAATCATTTGAGTTACATTACTGATAGTTCAAAACAGAAACAAACGAAAGCAATGCCTGCTATAATTCAAGGAAGTGTCCAAAGTTCTGATGGTCTTGTTGACCACTATGGTTAGTTTTTGCAGGTCACTTTAAGATAAAAGACATTCTTACTTTTTAAACTATCTGAAATTTTAAAAGCAACAAATCTAAGAAACAAAAGCTTGAGCACAGGTTTTACAAGCATAATGATATTTCTGATTTGCACTTTTGGGGGCATTTGAAAGAGTCTTTGCAATCTTACTACAGCTGAAGGTTGTAAAGTATGAATTTTCCAGCTCAGGTTCCAGTTTTCCTTAGCTGAAACATTCAATTAATAGCTTCAGTTTTTATAAATGGTGTAACTTTCCATCTTGTTTAGCTCATAAGAGGACCTTTGGCTTCATTGTAGGCACTTGCTTTTCCATGCAGGAGGTCCCAGGTTCAATTCCTGGCATCTCCTGTTAAAGGAACTTGGGTAGAAGATGCCGGGAAAGGTTTGTCCTCTGCTTGAGACCTTGGAGGTGTGCTGCCATTCAGAACAGACAATACTAAGCTAGGTGGACCATTGGTCTGACTTGGTATAGGGCAGCTTTTTATGCTGTCATATGGGTGACTGCCCTCAGGCCATTCTGTGCTGTACAAATTGAAACTTTTAGGTTTTGTATCCCTGGGTTTGTCCGCTGGAGTCGTCATCTTACTCACTTAGGGTACAATTTTGCTGCTCTGCTTTTGCACAACTCCTTTTCATTTCTGTGAGGCTTGTGCAGGAGAACATGTTGGTGGGGGTTGTACTCAGTGAAATTAGCCAGCAATGTATGCTGCAGAATCAATCTTCATCCCATTTGGACTTCCTTTATTGGGATTTGAAGCCTAAATCTGATGCTTCTCCTTTTGTTAGGTATGTTTTTATTGAAATTCATACTCAGAATTGTACTTGGTCACATTTTATATCAAATAATTACTTCTTAATAAAGTCACCTGATGTAGACCAGTTTTGCCTTCTTTGTCTTAGGTCTGTCATGTTGACACTTCATTGTATCAGTTGCTCCTTGTTAAGGTTTGCTTTCAGTGGCTCTCAAGTGGAGCTTAGACACGCACACATTTTCTTAGGCTTGCAAACAAAGTGCAACTTGGAATACGTGGTTAAGTCTGGTGGAATTGTAGGATAGAGGAAGTGGGAAAGTAGGTGTCTCCCACTAGACTGTCTTCTCACTCTTTACAAAATGTCAAGAACAATATTTCCAGGGCTCTTTTTGTAGAAAAAGCCCAGCAGGAACTCATTAGCATAATAAGTCACACCCAACAGCAGGAACTCATTAGCATATTGGGCCACACCCCTGACAGCACAGCTCATTAGCACATTAGGCCACACCCATATGTTACCAGAAGTGTGGTTATCCAGCCACACCCACCTTTTGCTTCTTATTCTGTTTACCTTGCTTGTTGTCAAAACCCAGGGCCTTTTTTTGTAGTAGGAACTCCTTTGCATGTTAGGCCACACACCCCTAATGTAGCCAGTCCTAATGAGTTCCTGCTGTTGGGTGTGGCCTGTTATGCTAATGAGTTCCTGCGGGGCGTGGCCAACTCGGGAGCCAGCCGGAACTCCGTTCCTGTGCGTTCCTGCCCAAAAATAGCCCTCCAAAAGATAGCATATAATATTGCTACCAAATGTGTTTGAAGTGGCACATGTAAATTTCTTTATGGCTCACCTCAAGTGGAGGGAAATGCATATGGTGTGGGATCTAAATGAAAAGTGATGGACCTCTAGAGTGAGCTTAGAAAGGAAAATGGGAGCTATAATAAACTGGAATGATCAGAGATAGGGAATCATTTGGGATGGCTTAGTTCCATTTACCCTCAAACATGCACATCAGTTTAAGGCTTGTAGGTCTGAGGGAGGGTGCTTGGCAGAGAAGGGAGGAGGGAACGCCAAGTGGATAATCCAGGAACCATTTCAGACAATAAATCTGAACACAGCTTCAAGCAAGGAACACCCTGACCCCATTCTCTCAAATTTGATAATAAACAATAATCAGTAATACATACAGTTCCGTGTTCTTTCTTAGTACAGTCAACAGCAATATAATTCTAAGATTCTGTGAACAAAAAATTCTTTCATTTAATACACAATATATTTCAAATTGTTTTCTTAAACATTAATGATGTCATAGTGACTTATTGCCATCTTACCAGGTAATTCTTTTCACAGCTCTCAGCTAACAATCTTTAAGTCGGACTACAAGTCTTAACACCTGTATATGGGACTTCCATTATATAGGAAGCCTCTGAAGACCACGTGCCATTCCTACTGAAGGTGCCAACTTATCAGTGCTATTCACCAATTCACTATTAGTCTAACATCATTTTCACAAACACTGGGAGCAGAAACAAGAAGAGTATTAATTTCCAAATCAGCTTCAAGGGTATGCCTTTGTAGAGCTAGTTGCAGTAATCAAGTCTGGAAGTGACCATTGCATGGGTCACCGTCGCTAGGTCTTGGGGGGGAAAGATAGGTCTTCAGTAGCCTGGTCTACCTAAGATGGAAAAACGCAGATCTGGCAACTGCAGCTACCTGGGCCTCCATGGAGAGAGGAGCATCCAGTGTCACTCCCAGACTTCTCACTGTCTGGGCCGGCATGAAAGGTGCCCCCATCCAACCCCCTGCGACCCAGGTACAGGACCTCCATCTTCAATGGATTTAACTTCAACCGACTCTGCCGCAACCATCCTGCCACAACATCCAATGCCTCAGCCAAGTTCATAGGAATGGAAGACGGATGGCCATCCATTAACAGATAGAGCTGGGTGTCATCAGCATACTGATGACAACCCAGCCCATAACCCTGGACTAACTGGGTGAGGGGGCGCACATAGATGTTAAATAACATTGACGAAAGGATTGCCCCCTGCGGCACTCCACATTTCAGTTGGTATTGCGGGGAGACCCTCTCACCGAGTGCCACCCTCTGTCCCCAGCCATGGAGGAAGGAGGAAAACCATTTCAAGGCAGTCCCCTGAACTCCTATGTCAGCAAGGCAATGGGTCAATAGATCGTAATCGACCATATTGAATGCCGCCATTAGATCTAATAGTAACAGCAACGCCAATCTGCCCCGATCCAGTTGTCTACAGAGGTCATCTGTAAGGACGACCAGAGCTGTCTCTGTCCCATGACCAGGGCAGAAGCCAGACTGGAAGGAATCAGCAATGGAAGTGTCATCCAGGAAGGCCTGGAGTTGTTCAGCCACCGTTCTCTCAACCACCTTACTCAGGAACAGTAGGTTCGACACTGGGCGGTAGTTGGTTAGGACCATAGGGTCCAATGATGTTTTTTTCAAGAGCAGATGAACTACTGCCTCCTTCAAAGCCTCTGAGAAAGTCCCAGTAGAAAGGGACAAGTTGATAATCTCTCCCAGAGGTACCCGAATGCTCTCCCTGCAGGCTTTCACTGACAAGGAAGGGCATGGGTCGAGGAGGCAAGTAGTCGGCCTTACTGCTGCCAGGATCCTGTCGACTTCCTCCTGGGAGAGTTGATTGAAATGGTCCAATATTGGACCAGAAGATGGACAAGGGGCTTCCAGTTCTCTTACTATCGCAATTGTGGTCAGGAGGTTCTGGCGGAGCTCATCCAACGAGCCGCCAGGGGGCATTGGATCCCACAGAGCTTCCTGAAGCTGAATGGGGGCCATTTGACTCCGCAGGTGAGCATAAATGCGCTCGTCGACTAAACAGAGACGGCATGGAATGTTCAGCTGGACCTTCAGGGCGAAGTGGTCAGACCATGGGACTACATCTGTAGTCATCTGATCCACATGTATCTCCATACAATTGTGGTCAGGAGGTTCTGGCGGAGCGTCATGATCTTGTCTGCAAAGTAGCTTGCAAATACCTTGCAGCGGATGGCCAGTTCCCTACTATTTGATCTGCCCTGTGGCAGAGTTGTAATGGATCGAATAATTCTTAATAAATGGGCTTGGCGTGAGCTTGCAGATGCAATGGAGGCCGCGTAGAAATCCTTCTTTGCGGCCTTCACAGCAATCTCATAGGCTTTCATAAGCATCCTATAAGATGTTCGTGACACTTTGTCACGAGCACGCCGCCACCTCTGCTCTAGCCATCTTAGCTCCTGCTTCATCCTCCACAGCTCCGATGTGTACCAAGGTGCTGCTTTGCTGCAAGGATGTAGAGGGTGCGGGGGAGTTATCTCCTTGATGGCTTCAGAGAGCCGGTGTTCCCAGTCCTCCACCAGCTCATCCAACGAGCCGCCAGGGGGCATTGGATCCCACAGAGCTTCCTGATGCCGAATGGGGGCCATTTGACTATGCAAGCGAGCATAAATGCACTCGTTGCCTAAACAGAGACGACGTGGAATGTTCAGCTGGACCTTCAGGGCGAACCAACCTGATACAGCATCTAGCAGGTCGGGCAGGGTATCTGCTGGCACGTTAGGCGGTCAGTACACCAACCAGACAGCCAAACTCTCATCAACATCACATGCCAGGCCTACACATTCAATGCCGGAGATTGTTGGGGCGGGGAGTGACCTTAAGGAACAAAATTCACGGATGAGCAAAACCACATCGCCGCCCCCCCCCCCTGCCGCCCATACGTCCGAGACTGGCAAAAGACCGAAAACCCAGGTGGGGTAAGCTGGTTCAAGGTGAGTTTCACCATCCTTCACCCAGGTTTCGGTCATACAGGCCAGGTCTACTCACAACTCCATGAAATAATCACGGAGCACATTGATCTTATTATTGATAGACCTGATGTTGACTAACACCAGTGTTGGAGAAGGGTAAATTTTCCTAGCCCCACAACCAACCTTCTGTAGGACTGCAAGTCAAATGTTTTAGTTATCACACATTGTTAAGACAGATACTGAAGCACTGATGTAATGGACTCATGGCACCCAAATCCCATTAAGAGATGGACTGCAGGTTCCGAATCAGGTTCTAAGATGTGTCTTTTCCAGTTCTGCTAAAAGCCCACTCTCTTCAGGATCCTGTGAATTACAAGAAAACACAGACATAGGGTGCTGGAGTTTAGCCAGCAAGCCCCAGCCTTGGATAAAATTTGGTTGTAAATTTGCTGTTCCAGAATTCAGGCCTATAAAGTTCTCAAACACAAATACAAAGTTTGCCTAACTTTAAAACAAGCTCAATCTCCACCAGCTTCTATAAATAGAATTGGCTTGTTCTTTTCTTGAAACTGTTATACAAACTCCTAACCACAAATCCACCTCTTTGTAATCCAACAAAAATAACGTTTCTGGTCAAACTGATCAAATCACTAAAAATTTCATCCAAGAAAAACCAGACAGCACATAGCTTACATCAGGAGGAGACAGCGTAGAGTTTTATTTGTCAGTTCAAATTAGTTGGCATCTTCTGCTGTAGTGATTATAAAGACAGAATCTCTCAAATCCTTGGAGCCAATTGCATTATGTAACTACAGGGTAATTCCAGTTTAAACGTGTATATATGGAGTTTGGCAGGGAATTAGAAGGCGCTTGGCGTATCTTGATCAAAATTCAGCAAGTCCTAGACCTCCCTATCTCTGTATCCTCCAGCATTTTACAGCTAAAAGACAGGAAAGACAGACTTTGTTGAGGGTTAGGGTCTGAACCCCTCGCCCCGTCCACCCAATTAGAGTGCTCTGGTGGTGGAAAGTGCCACCCAGTCACAGCTGATTTATGGTGACCCCTCATGGGGTTTTCAAGGCAAGAGACTTCAGAGGTGGGTTGCCATTGCCTGCCTCCATGTCATGACTCTGGTATTCCTTGGAGGTCCCCCATCCGAATACAAGCCAGGGCCAACCCTGCTTAGCTTCTGAGATCTGAGGAGATCAGACTAGCCTGGGCTATCTAAGTAAGGGGTAGACTGCTTTAGGCTCCACTCATTTAGTCTGCAATAGTTTTTAAAGCCCAGAAGGTGTTTTTGTTCGTGTGAAATGTGCTAGAAAATTGTAGTGGCCATG